GCTTCACTAGTCAGCTCCTCGGAGCATTTGGTAAGGCTCTCAGTCTTACATTCTGAAGGCACCACTGGGATTCCTGGGTGTGCTTCACTATAGTCAGCTCCTCGGAGCGTTTGGTAAGGCCCTCGGTCTTACAAAATGAATAAAACATTTTATTTACAATGGATTTGTGAGCTAACAGGGAAATAAGCATAAAAATAAAACAATAAACTCAGAATTTTAAAGAATAATTTCCCTTTCTCTTTAAAGTTTCATGCCATTATGGTAATATTTTAGAGTACAGTTTTCCCTTTGTACCTTTTGAGGCTCTTGTATAAATTACATGTTTTTCTGAAAGTGATACTATTTTCTTGAGAAATTAAAGTATAGCTGCTAGTTTGTAATGGAAGAAAAGTAGCAGGAAATAGTAATGAAATGCACAGCTCAGTGCCAGACACATAGTATTCAATAAATATTGTTGTTTTTATTATTAATAACAGATTTTCATTAAGAATTTATTAAGGGCATCAACAGATATTCATTAAGTGCAGTTAATATAAGAGAAACAAAACCAAAATATACATATACTTTGCCTTGAAGGAGCTCACACTTTGAGACAAGAACAGGAAAAGGATGTCCATTATCACCACTCTGGTTCAATATAGTCCTCAAAACATTAGCCAGAGCAATCAGGAAAGAGAAAGAAATAAAAGGGATATGTATAGGAAACAAAGAGGTGAAATTAGCATTTGCAGATGACATGATCTACATAGAAGAACCCAAAAATTCCACCAAAAAATTCCTAGAATAACCAAATTTACTAGAGTAGCAGGATACAAATCAACACACAAAAATCAAGAGTGTTCTTGTAGACCGATAATGAACTCAATGAGAAAGAAATTAGGAAAACAATAGCATCTACAACAGCATCAAGACAAATTAAATACTTAGGGATTAACCTAACCAAGGAAGTGAAAGACCTCTATAACAAAAACTATAGTACTCTTAAAAAGGAGATCGAAGAAGACATCAGAAAATGCAAAGTTATTCCTTGTTCCTGGAGAAGGATAATCAATACAGTCAAAATGGACAAATGTGGGCCAGGGATTAAGCTCAGTGGTAGTGCGCCTGCCTCGCAAGTGCAAGGTCCTGAGTTTGATCCCTGGTAACAACAACAAAAAACGGCCAAATGTCTAAAACTGACAGATTTAATCCAATCTCAATCAAAATATCAAGAGGATTCATCACAGAACTAAAGAAAATAATCCTAAAATTCATATGGAACCAGAAGAAATCCAAAATAACAAAAACAATCCTGGATAACAAGAGCAAAGCAGGAGGCATCACAATTCCAGATTTGAAGTTACAGTACAAACCTACAGTGACAAAAACAGCATGTACTAGCACAAAAACAGGCATGTGGACAATGGAACAGAATACAGAATGCAGAAACAACTCCAGCAATTCAGCTACTTTGATCTTTGAGAAAGGGGCCAAAAATACACACACACACACACACACACACACACACACACGCACGCACATTTAATAAAGGGTATTGGGAAAACTGGATATTCACAAACACATTGAATCTAGGCCCATATATCTATCTCATCATGTACTAAACTAAAATCAAAATGGATCAAAGATCTAAATGTTAAAATAGAAACAAACTGCTGAAGATGGGTAAAACTCTTGAAGTTATAGGTGTAGACAAGGATTTTCTGAACAGAATACTTACTGGACAAGAAATAAATCAAGAATCAACAAATACAATCATATCAAATTAAAAAGCTTCTGCCCAGCAAAGGTAACAACCAAAAGAGTGAAGAGGCAACCTACAGAATGGGAAAAAATTTTTGCCAGCTATTCTTTGGACAGAAGACTAATATCTACAATATATAAAGAATTCAAAAGACTCAATCAAGAAATGGGCAACTGACTTCTTAGAAGTACAACTGGTCAATAAATGTATGAAAATGCAAATTAGGCAACAGTGAGAGTTCATCTTATCCAGAAAGAATGGCTATCATCAAGAAATCAAGTAATAAATGTTGATGAAGCTGAGGGGACAAAGGAATCCTTTTATACTGTTGGTAGGAATGTAAAACAGTACAACCATTGTGGAAACAGTTTGGAGATTACTCCAAGAACTAAAACTACAAATTCAATTAACCCAGCTACTTGCCATCTAAGTATCCTCCTGAAAGAGTTAAGGCATCATATTACAGTGATACATGGATACCCATGTGTGGGAAATGGTAGAATTCAGCTATCTAGTTGTAAGAATAGATCACAAGAAGTTTGTTAACTAAGAGAATTAAGTCGTTTCTGGGAAATTCCACAAGTCTGTTTGTTAAAAGAATGCCAAAAAACTTTAAGAGACCTTGTAAAAGTCTCATGGGAGAAAAACAGGTTTTCCTAGTTTTCTTATTTACCGTCTTCCAGGATCAGAGGACCGTGACCCAATGACTCTACGGGTGGTAAGAGAGATATGACTCACTATGCACATCTGTGATGTTTATGGTGGGCCGGTGGGCTTGATTTTGGCTGAAATCGTCCTGCTCTCTTGATAATATCTGATAAGAAGAGGGCTGAGGTGTGCTCTTTGATGTACGGGATTGGTGAACCGGAAACAGGGGACTTGTGAATTCGCCTGTAGCTTTTATGAGTCACTTAAAGTCACTGGTTATCATCAGAGGTTAAAATCAGAAAGACAATAGCCAGAATAACTAAGCTGCTTTCCTACATGTATAAAAGCCTTGCTTCTTTCCTTTGTGATGGTCGAATAGTGCCAGAGGAATTAAACTGCTGTTTGTCCCCCGGGCTGTCTCTTTTTCTTTCTTTAAAAGTCAGTGCTTTCCGGGGTTCCAGGTCTCCCTCAAGAGAGACCTTTATTAAAAATAAAAATCAACACCCATGTTTATAACAGCACAATTCATAATAGCTAAATCTTGGAAGTGGCCTATATGTTCATCAACAAATTAATGGATAAAGAAAACATGGTGTTCACACACAACAGAGTACTATTCTGCCATAAAGAAGGATAAACTTTAATCATTTACATGAAAATGGATGGATGCACCTTGAGACCGTGACTTTAAGTGAAATATATCAGACTCACAAGCTTAAGTATCACATGGTTTCTCCTATATGAGGAACCCAAAATATAAATAAAGCCTAAAATAAAAGATAGGTAATAGGAAAAAGGGAAATGGATCTTCTGCAAGTGGGAAGATCATGAGATGAAGGGAGAGGGGAGTGAGTGGAGGGTAAGGGGATGAAAAAAGATTTGAAACGTGTTATGCACATGTATCAACTCCCCACAAAGAATGTAATCATTATGTACTACAAACATATACTAATAAAGAAAAAAAAGTGAAAAAAGATAAAATTCACATACCATATAATTTACCCATAGAATGTGACCTTGTTAGTATATTCACAAATATGAAAAGTTGTCAGCACAATCAATTTTAGAAAATTTTTATCATCTCAAAAGAAAACGCCACAATATTTAGCTATTACTACCCTTCCAGCCCTAAGAAACAATTAATGTATACCCTGTCTTTATAGATTTGCATGTTTTGGATATTTCATGTAATTGAATTATAAGATATATATCCAATTTGGACTAGCATCCTTTTTTTTTTGGTGTTACTGGGAATCAAAGTCAGGACCTTGCACTTAGGAGGCAGGCGTGGTGCCACTGAGCTAAATCCCCGGCCCTGGACTAGTGTCTTTCAATTAGCGTGTTTTCAAGGTTCATCCACAGTGTAGCACGTGTCAGCATCTCATTCTGAAGGCCAAATAACACTCTATTGACAGATATTCCACATTTAAAAAATCCATTCACCATGGGCCGGGGATTTAGCTCAGTGGTTCCACTGCCTGCCTTGCAAGCACAAGGGTCTGAATTTGATCCCCAGTACCAAAAAAAAAAATCCATTCACCAGCTGATCTCTGGTTTGTTTCCAGTTTTTGGCTACTATGAATAATGCAATAATGCTGTTGGGATAGTTCACGCACATATTTTTGTGTGATGTATGTGTTTATTTCCCTTGGATATATACCTAGGATTTGAATTACTGGAGTCATATGGTAAATCTATGTGTAACAGTTTGAGGAACTGACAGGCTGTTTTCAAAAGTGGCTGCATAGAGAATAAACTTGAGACATTTTTAGGTAAATGAATGCACCTTGAGACCATAATTTTAAGTGTAATAAGTCAGACACACAAGTTTAAATATCACATTGTTTCTCTTGTGTGAGAAACTCAAAGGGAAAATAAGGAGCAAAATGGAGGATAGATACTGGGAAGTAGGAAGAACTTGTTCAAATGGGAAGAGACAAGGGAGGGGAGAGGAACTGGAAAGGGAAAAGGGATTAAAAAAAGAGAATGGAAGGAAAAAAATGGACACAATGCTTTTGGTAAATGAGGAGGGGAAAGAATGGTTCAAGGGAGGGGAAGGGAATGGAAAAAAAGAATTAAGATATATTATGTACACATACAAATACAAGTACAAATGTGATCATTATGTATGGCAAACATGTACCAAAAAATAATAAAAATTTAAAAAGTAGCTGCATCATTTTATATTCCTATCAGCAGTATACTAGGATTCCAAATTCTCCACTTCATCATCAACACTTGTTATTAACGACATCAGGCATATCTAATCTGCAGCCCACAGACTACATGAGGCCCTAGATAGCTAGTAATGCAGCCTATGGATCTTAAACTTTTAATCTTATGTGATTTTTAGTGATACTGTTCATGACTCAATTGAGTAGTGTTCACATGTGACGGTGTACATATGGACACATGCATAGCAGCGCTATCTCCACCTCCTTTGCCAATCTCACAGTCAGTAGAATCGAAACCCACACGTTACAGATGTTACATGTGCTTGTGTGATTTGGTAAGTAAAACAGCAATTATCGATAGCAGAACATTAACCTAGTATTTACTTATACACATCAACTATACTTCTATATGTGGCCCAAGGCAATTCTTCTACAGTAATGAGGCCCAGGTAAGTCAAAAGATTGGATACTCATGATCTTGATTCTAGTGGGTGTAAAGTAGAATCTCATTTTGACTTGTATTTCCCTTGATAACTAAAAGATGTCTAGCATCTTTTCATATGCATATTGACCATTTACATACACTGTCTAGCAAAATGTTCATTCGGACATACTGCCCATATTTTAATTGAATTTATCTCTTACTTGAGTTATATAAATTCTTTATCAGTTCTGCATTACTTAAGCCCTTTATCAATTCTGTCAATATCTGGTAAGTACTTTATCAAATATTTTTCCTATTTTGTGGCTCTTTTTCTATTTTAATAATATCACTGAATAAGTAAAATTTTAAAATTTTGATGAAATTCAATTTATCTATTTTTCTTTTTTACTTTTTTTCCATTAAGCTTACTGGTACACTTTAGGTATACAATACAGTAACATTCATCACTTGGATCTTGTACCTTTATATGACATATCTTGGTTCTTATTTTTTTTCCCATTCCCCTGCCCTTCTTCACTCCCTCCACTCTTCCCTATTTACAAAGATTTTGTTTCCATATTTTTCCTTTTCTCCTATTTTTTCTTTTCCCTTCTTTCCTTTCCCCTACCCCTCCCACTTCCCCTACTCCTCTAGACCTTTTCTTCCTATTACACAATATCAATTATATATGATTTTTAAATTACAGTATCAAGGTTTAGAGGACATTACCACAGATTTTACAGAATTTAAAAGGATACAGAAAGCATATATATATGGGACCTCTAGCCCTAGTTCTTTGAGGTATCTCCATACTGATTTCCACAGTGGTTGCACCAGTCTGCACTCCCACCAACAATGGAGAAGGC